GGAGAAATTGCTGACCCCTATAAACGTCAAAGGCCCATGGCTTTTCAACCCCTTCACATACAGGGCATAATTGGCCGACCTCTCGCAGTGTTCAAAATAACTCGACAAGCGCCTTCAAAGGATACCTAGTCAACCAGGCTGCGACTCTTAAATCGGGTTGTGAGCAGCTGTATCGAACAGCCTGGTTGATCAGACCAGGAACCAGGAGGCCTGGTTAGAGACCTGCCCGCAAGGATTTTTATCCCTAGAATCATCAACGGGTAGTCAACAGGTAGCCAGATTTAAGCTGAATGGAAAAACCCTGAAGCAGCTTACTTGATGACCTACAAGAATTAGAGACTGACTGAACATAAGTCTTCATTACTGACGAGATGTTGGTAGACTTATTGTTATGTACAAGGCCAACATTCTCAAAATGCCTCAAAGTTGTCCATCAACAGCCTCATGTTGGAAGTGCCTTTCTCTAGAGTATCACTCCATCAGTGATCGTTCATTCCTAGACCAACTCTCACCTGGAACTTACTTGCTCAACACATTGATAAGCGGGATATCAAGTTAACCAACTGAATGAAGGTTCTGGCACACAACTGGCCTCTGGGCTCATCCTGTTCCTTATATATTAGTTACTTAGCATTAGTTAGTTATTCCTAAAGGATAATATCAGTCCTGTTCATACCATGAAAATATGGAGAATGCATACTGGCCAAAGCTAAATGTATGGAGGTTAACTTGGGGACCCCCTTTATCATTAGTCTTTTCCCATATTGCTATACTATTTATTCTTGGCTGATGCCTTGCCACCCTATAGAAGTAGGAAATAGGGTGATAATGAAAATATGAATATTTTATGCAATAACCTGATTAGTAAAAATGACTTTATATGTGAAACCTTGAGAAATGCTACATTATGCACAAATACTGTATAGCTAAAATAATAAGCTATAACTTTTGTTCAGGTAACTATGTAGTTCTTTGATGACTGTAAGAGCTTACTTTACTAGACAATTAGGCACATTAATTGTTGTTTTTAGTTATTTGGTAACTAATCAATAATGAATAATAACTGCAACTGTCTGAATAAACATATAATTTACTGAATGTGCATACCAATCCCTGAACACAAATCAAAAACTGAGAAGGCAAAGAATTATTAAATAAATCCACTGATTGATTAAATGCATTTATAAGTGAATTATTTATTAAAATCAATAAAAGAGGAAATACTTCAATTGGTTAATGAAAAAGCATATCCATCACTAGATGATTTCGCTACATCACCCACTACTCGTCTAAAGCAAAACAAAAACCGCTGAGTTAAGGTTACACAACTACTGATGTGCAGACTTGACTTATCACCATTCTCTCACACACACACACAATGACCCTTCATTCAGAAAATTAGAAAATGGGTAACTTTTGTTACAATTTATGTTAAAGAAAAGAACATTTTTCCTTTACATAAATGAAAGCTTACACTCAATATGCAAGATTTTATAGTGAAGCAGCAAACTCCATATCCGGCAAGGTGTTAGCTGTTTGAGCCCACAAGTGTGTATGACCAGTCCTAAGAATACCACATATGTAGAGGTGTAACACCTTGCCAACTCTCTACCTACCATAGAAAGCACTTCCTTTCTGTATCAGATAGTATCAAATCTGTACCTTTAAAAAGGTACCTTCTGTACCTGTCTGTATCAAAACAGATGGTCATGGTATTACCCCAACACTTTGGTATAATCATTAGAAAGCTCTACATTACTGCCAGCAATTCTTTTGCTAATCATTAATTCACTTTACCATACTGTAGGCTTCAAATATTATCTATTAAAATAAAATTGGGCTGATCTTTTAAAACCTTATACCATTCCTTAGTAGAAAATGTTTTTGAGAGAAACCAGGTATTCCGAGAGATTAGCCTGTGATCATCCAATACATTCTAAGAGTAGACCAGACTCTTGTCGTCCTGGACTTGAGAATGGTCCAGGACGGACCGAAACGTCATCATCCCTTCACCTTCTAGTGTGTGGTCTGGTCAACATACTTTAGCCACGTTATTGTGACTCATTGCCTGCACATTCTAAGAGTAATGTGTTAATACTGTAACAAATACTGCAAGGGAGGTTATAGTTAATAATTCTGTAACCTAAAACGTATAACTTTTCCACTGTGTTCCCAAGTAAACGATTTCCTAGATTAAATATGTTTCATTGGCTTTTATCACACCGATTTATTTGGAGCTGTGTCAGCAATATAGGAGCCACAAGATTTATACCAGATTCCACCGACTGCCAATTTGCTAGTTACAAGAAGTTCTTTTTCAACACCGCCTTTGGATTGGACAAAAAATTAGTTAACAAAAACTACACACGATACTCTCCCAGTGATCGGGCAGTTCCCATAAAATGTAATTATGTAACCTCTTGGTCATATGTCGAGAGAAAAAAAAAAAAAAAAAAAAAGGTATGATAGTTGACTGAAAAAAATAATTTGTTTTCAACTAATCATAAGTCGTTGAACATTAAAGCAAAATACAAGCAACACACAAGAGATTTATGCTGCTTTGTAAATGTCATGCTACAGATCATGAGCCACACAAAAATCTTTATAAGTGCTGTAATAAGTAATTTCTAACTGGTTCAAAAACACTCATTATCAACACATCAACGTGAATTAATATTTTTTAAAATCCAAGATATTAAATGAAATACACAGATTTGTCCAATTGTATATCAATTGATGCTTCCATCTATATAAAAAAAAGTAGTGAAAGTCCACTTCCTATGCAATTCTTTAGTACCTCCCTTTAGTAGATAAGGCAGACAAGAATGTTACCAACTAACTAGTGCTTGTAACATAACACTAGATTGAAGAGCTCCCAGGAATTTGGAAATGCTAATTTAGTTTCAATATTAACAAAGGGGCACACATGAAGCATTAAACTATAGACCGGTGTTATTAGCATGAATCTCATGCAAAATTCATGAAAATATTATCAGCATAAGAATAATAGAAAAATTGGAGACAGCAAATTTTTGTGACAAGAAGGGTAACATGGATACAGACAGGAAAAATGCTTCCCAACAAACTTTATTCAATTCTATGATAGGGTTGCCAAAATAATGCAAGAGAACACATCACGTTCCTAAACTAAAATGCCGTAAATTTTTTGAGGCATTGCAGCCGCTTTCTACAATGGGCCTGTCCCAGCTGGATTACTTGTGGACATCAAATGGGGACTGGTTTGAGTGCTATGCTTATGAAGAAAACCCACTTGATACATGACTGTAATTGGCTTCCCCTGGCTGAGTTCCCTGGGAGCAGAAGAGGATAGAAAAGCCGGTGAAGCAATCTGAATGGTGTGCAGACACTGGAGCCATATATTCTAATTGGAAAATTTTGATTGGTCACTTACCAAGAATCTTGTCAATACATTAGACCCAAGTTTTGTCCATGTGAAAACATTTCTGAACAAGCATAGGACATCAGAAATGAGAACAGGACAATTCAAATCCATATAAGATTCCAATACCTAATCAGCAAATAAAAATTTTCAGTACAAGACGAACAACGCAATATACACTTAATGGTCACCTCGATCCAAACACATAGGGGCCTGGTAGCCTGGTGGATAGCGCGCAGGACTCGTAATTCTGTGGCGCGGGTTCGATTCCTGCACTAGGCAGAAACAAATGGGTAGTTTCTTTCACCCTGAATGCCCCTGTTACCTAGCAGTAAATAGGTATCTGGGAGTTAGTCAGCTGTCACGGGCTGCTTCCTGGGGTGTGTGTGTGTGGTGTGGAGAAAAAATAGTAGTAGTAGTAGTAGTAGTAGTAGTAGTAGTTAGAAACAGTTAATTGACAGTTGAGAGGCGGGCCGAAAGAGCAAAGCTCAACCCCCCCGCAAACACAACTAGGTGAATACATACCAGCCACTTTGTCAAACACATGAACTGCTTTTCACTGTTTTTCACTTTTCATTATGTGCAATCTTGTAGGGATTTGAAGTGGCCACAATACAAGGATAATAAAAAATCAGCCCGATATGGCCGACAAAGAAATTCGAGAATAAAAAAAAACAAAAAAACTGGGAGCTCTCAACCATTCTACTATAACCACTAGTGCTAGCACAGCATTTAGGATAGTTTGAATGAAGGCACCAATGGTAGTGAACGTGGTATCGTGGTACAGTACCAAACTATGCCAGCAGACTAGAAGAATTTGCATGGAATTACAGTACAGTATTTAAACTGAATACTGTACTCCAAAAATGAATAAAAATTTTAAATTTTAATTAATTTTCCACTTACAACGGTTAACAGCTTGTCAGCTTTCATTGGAAGAACACAGGCTAACCAGGTTTACTGTCTCAGGAGTTGTGCAAGAAATTCTGGGCCACAAAAAATTTTCATTAACAATAAGTTCTGTATGATCTTTAGCGCATTAACTGCTTTTATGGCAAGCATACACAGGGTCATAAGGAATGCAAAAATCACCAACTACAATTTTTCTAATTATAGAATTTGAACATTGCCATCTATGACTGCTTAACTTTCACACTACACTGTTCACGCACTTATATAACAAGTCAAGATGAGGGAGCTCACGTATAAAACACTACAGCACAAATGAGGATACAAAGACTACTACATATCACAAGACAAAAATATATAAAAAACAGATATGTTATTAAAATCACACAATAAAAAGGAAATTAATTTTCTAACATGCCTCAATTTACAGAAAATCACTGCCCATGGAAAGCACAGGGCTGTCTAAGACCCCATTAAACAGGTGAATGGAGTTTTAAAAGACATTACAAATTAACTTCCATGAAAAAGGAACAAAACAGTGGGAAAATCCAGAATTATATACATGTATAACTAACTGCAAACACTACAAACAGGGAGGGGAACTGTTTCTATTAGGAATAAATGATGGGTGACCCCCTATTATGAGAAGCAATTAATGATACGACTACCTGCATCTCCACATTACTTTTACCTTTAACTGATTTCTGCAATATTCTGTAGATCTTGGCCCGTAGTGGCTGGAAGGCTATGGCACCAGATGGCAGGTTAGAAGAATAGTCTTCCAGGGTGGTTGATGATTCATATGCCTCCCCCCTCAATATTGTATATAAATGACGGCCCAGTTCAGAATCTATGTGGCGTAAACGAACTCTTTCCATGATATCCAATCCCTAAAAAGGATCAGTATTAATGATAGATGTAAAGGAAAAATACAAAATTAAACACAATATTCAAACATGTATAATATAAATTAGCATTTCAAGTCTAATGTAGTTTAACGGCAATATTCAGGACAGGTGAGTGTGTGCAAGATAAAAATTGTGCTTAAATCAAGGTCAGTATTTTTTCCTTTTAGCTACATAACAGTATTATATTGCCCACTCTAATAATTAAATATGCCACATGAACACAAATTTAAATGGCAGATATACATAATAAATATGGATGGAAATGAGACGAAAGTTATAATGGCTGTTAGGTGGAGCCACAATAATGGAGAAGGGTCGAAGCCCTGAGTAATTTTCACTACACATCATTACTACTCTACAAGTAAATCTAACTTAAATTAACCCAACCCATCCCAACATACCTACCCTAAACTAAACCTACCTACCCTAACCTAAACTAACCTACCATAAAGTAACCTACCTACCCTCACCTAAACTAAACTAACCTAACCCAAATAATAAATAAATAAATTTTATATATTGTATGAAAACAATGTGTGACGTAACTATGACATCATAATTTTAGCCCAGTTAAGTTTTTAAATTCTATTGCTACAATGATTTATCTCGCTTCAGTAAAAATTATTCAGATATTTACGTATTCAAATACACACTCATGCAGCATTAAATATTAATCATTAGATTAGGCAACAACAAGAGTCAATCATTTAGGCTCTTTGCATACAGAACCAGAGTAAGGCCAATGTACTAGTAGTACAGTGTGTACTCTAGTACACAAATATAATTAGGGTATCACCTAGTACAATATATCATACATTCCAAACAATGGAAAAGAGAATACAAAAGTGGGTTCAATCACTAAGTTACAGTACTATAATAATAATAATCAGAATAAAGAAAATATAACACTAGAAAAAGGAACAGGAGTCAAGTTCCATGGCCAAGTTAATGAAAAATGCACCGTTATGAAGCTCTAATGCATAACAAAAATTTAATTATCAAATTTTGCCCTAAAATTTAGCTGTTAAAATTACAATAGCATAATTAATTACCGATGTGTCTTCGCTTCTCTCAGTGAACTCGTCAGGCCCATCAATATCCAACTGATACATCTTTATGCCCTCTGCCAGGAGATGTGCCCGACCTTCATCTCGGAACACTACCCTGTGCCAATAATATTATCAGATAAGAGCAGAAAACCTTACAGAACACAAATATATACCAAACACAAAACAAATAATATATTACATGAATACACAAAGTACACAGTACACAATTATACAAATGGTGCAGTCTCCGTGGCGTAGTGGTAAAGCACTCGCCCGGCACTTCATGAGCACTGTGGCCTGGGTTCATATCCTGACCGGGGAGGATTGACTGGGCGCTAATCCTGGACAGTACGCCTCTGTTCACGCAGCAGTGAATGGGTACCTGGTTGTTAAACGACTTGGCAGCTTGTATTCTAGGGAAAAATTGGGATTAAGGACTTGCCCGAAATGCTATGCGTGTTAGTGGCTTTACAAGAATGTAAGAACTCTTGTAAATATAAAAAAACAAAAACGTTTAAACTATCACATTTAGATATAGAATTGTACATCTGGCATGGAATTTTTAAATTTCAGCCAAGTCTAACTTAGCAGCAAGAAATAAAGCAAGTCCTGCCTACCCTGCAAAAGTGAAAATTTGGAAACCTGTGTAATTAATGGTAGCGAATCAAAATCCCTAACTGGGACAAGAAAATGGGGGCCTCCCAAGGGAGGCCAGTTTAATTATCAATCTTGAACAAAGGAGCACAACACATATCTCCCACTCACAGATGAAGATCCTTCAGCATAGAAACAAACCCAAATCAAATGACAACCATAAATCCATCTCGGTAAACTTTTGGCAGTAACTCCTAAATCCGAAAGAAAGTCCAGGGACCAAGCATAATTCTGACATTGTAATGGCGATATATATTTTTCACTGGTTAGAGAGAACCCTTGTATAAATGTATCTACTATTAGCTGTGGCTATTATCTCTGCTTTAAGTTTGAAAAGTTATGCTCGAGGGTGGTGGTTCTTATAAAAAAACAGCACCCCAAGTATTTTCCAAGGAAAACACATGATTGAAGTAACTATCAGGCTATAAATGTTTTCAATGTACTGAACATCATTTAAATACAAAAAAATAAGCATAGGCCTACTCACCAAGGAATTTGATGTATTTTAGTTAAGAAATACAATAGAAAATTGAGATGCATTTTCCACAACATTGATTTTTTGTTGATATGTGTCATTTCCTTTTCTCTAATCAGAAAAGCAATGATTTTATATTTACCAGTAATCATTATAGCACTCATATTAGTAAAGGAATCTTGAAAAGAAATTAATTACTTCCAACAGGCTTAGAATTACTTCATAAGGTGGAGCTTTCCTCTACAACCACCAAGCATCTGCAGCTACCAGGCACAAACTACTATACTGAATGGTCATGTTTGGACAAATGTTTCAGGATGATGAAACTAGATTTCTAATCCATTTGACAAAAATCATGAATCGCAGTGAACTAACTTTTTTCACCATTTGACTATCTTGAGGTTATCTTCAGATGATTTCGGGGCTTAGTATTCCCACGGCCCGGTTCTTGACCAAGCCTCCTTTTTGTTACACACCCCCAGGAAGCAAGCCGTAGCAGCTGTCTAACTCCCAGGTACCTATATACTGCTAGGTGAACAAGTGCATCAGGATGAAAGAAACTCTGCCCATTTGTTTCCGCCTTCACCGGGGATCGAACCCGGAACCATAGGACTACGAATCCAGAGCACTGTTCACTCAGCCATCAGGCCCCTGTAGGTTAGGTTAGGTTAATTTAAATACTGTATAACAAACAAAAAAAAAACAATATCTATACAGTATAGCAGATTCCGTCTAAACAACTGATCAAACCCAACAACTAACTCCCTCTGATATTTATAGATTTCTAACAAAATCCAGAATTTCAGAGGGAAATGAGATGAAACCTAAATCACTGGTTCTCAGAGTAATTTCAATCTTATCTTGTTTTTGCTAATCTTGTTTTTTTTTTTTTTATCTCTAAACATTTAACAAAACGAGGGCATGTGTAACATCTGTGTGTTCTTTTTGAGTGTGCAGTCTGACCTCTCATTACTTAAATATTTTCAATAGACTTTCTTCTGATACTATATATATATACATGTAGCATTATTTCTAAGTTGAAGATAGGTTGTGTAGCAAGAGTAGCATTGGAACATCAGGCAAGGGTAAGAGGAACTTCCTAACTTTGAGTAAGGTGAAGTTATTAAAGGCAGGTGAACGAGGCTGGAAATGCAAGTAGCTGGCAGAGGAGTATGCATTACAAATAGCACCACCGTTAGTGTTGTTTCCGACAAAACGTAAAGGAAGCCGATCATATACAGTTTATTTTAATTACAAAGAGCAGTAGTTGAAAAAAAAAAGACAAAAAACATTGTAACCTTTTAAACTTGAGGATTCAAATGATGCTCTATACCAATAATTTACACAGCACTGTAGCCTGGTGCCAGCTGTTGGTAGTCAACAGTTAGTCTGTAGCCGAGAGAATGGCATAAACCAGGTGCATTGAGGGCTTCAAGACCCTATCAGGGTGAATACATTTATTTAAAAGATGGCATGCCATGGTACTGTAACTGCATTTTGCTGCATCTGGGTTGTTTAGAGCAGACTGTTCTTAAAAAGAAGTGAATAAATAAATATTTTCTGCACAATAATCATATATATGCACACAAATTTATTATTTACATATTTATATGTCTGAATATGCTGAACCATATACTTTATTATTTACGATAAGACAAATCTTAGAAACTTTGGTGATAAATAGCCAAAAAAAAGGGTAGCATATTAAAATCTTGATTGTACACAAATTCAGATTTGGTCTGGAACAATCTGTATTTTGGAGAGAGCACTGTACACACATGGGTGACATTTTTATTATCTGCTGTCCTTATGCACACACTCCTTCCTTCTCCGCTACCACCTTCTCTTTAGAAATCTCATCCTTCACTGGCTTTACAAATACCAAAGAATGGCCCATTTTCTTCTTTTGTATACATGTACTTTTATCCTTTTTATTCAAGGCTGAGATTATACACAAGTTCTGACCTGGCAAGGAGGGGAAGCTGCTGCTGAAGAACATCCATGGGGGGCTGTGTGTTGATAAAGGCGGCAACCTTGGGAATGAGAATTTCTGGTGGGGGTCGGTTATGATGACGGTGGTGGTGATGACTGGCCATCTTTAGTGACTGCTGGTGGAACAGTAGTAAATCCTCTTGACGTATCACATCATTCCCTTCAATTTCAAACATTAAAATAAAAAAAAAGATGTGGTAATTCAGTATTGTAGGATGTACTTATATTCTAGATGATACATGTTTTCAGCTATGACCTATGGCATTTGACCTTAGAGTACAAGTACTTATGATGATGATGCAGAAAAACAAAGACTACAGAAGATACCTGTATATACAATATCGGGTCCAATATATTCTACCACCAGTTAATGCAACTCCACATGCATGCTTGCCATTCTTGACTGAACATTCCTTGTACTACTCCCACAGGTAACTAATGTTTAATTATTCAGTCTCTTGCCCCAAGATCACAAAGTTTTTCTGTACTCGTCAAATTACTCTCGCACTCAATTTCCCTGCTTTTATTATTTTACTCAGCATCAGCATATGAACAAACCTTCAGCTATTCCTCACTACTCTCACATCACAAGTACTGTACTGTACTTCAGCAAACTTCTCTCAAGTACATAATCAAACTTTTCTACAAATTAATAGCACTTCATACCAAATTTTAAGGTGTGGGGATGAACTTTTATAGTTAAATGGATTTAGAACAGATTGACATGAGTAATCTGAACTAATCTATGTCAAATACTGTATTCATAACAAATATTGCATTAAGCATCCCTATTCTAGATTTTTCACCATAAAAAAGAAATAGCTATGCTAAAAGATGCAAATTTAATAATGCAAAAAACACACAAGGGTTTGAACCAAGTGTAAATGTGAGCGACACTAACACCACCCTTATCCCTCTCTTCTCAGGTTGTCTGCAGTGTCATCAAAACTAGCCAGCCTGCAGTCTACCCTCAGACCCCATGATGTTCATACAAATGCTGTGTTGCCTGCTGTTTTCTTTAAAATGTCATGGCCAATATTCAGGCTTGGAGATTTTGGAGGTCTAACAGTCTTGGTAATCCAGAATTTGGTCAATAGTTCTGGTACCAGTCTTGTGTGGCACTGGACCAGGTTTCCCCAGCCAACATTGTCTTCTTCATCCAAGTGCCTGCCATCTCTCCTCCTCCCTGATAAGTCCCATTTCTTCCTTCTCTGTGGTTACTTAGCTACAGGGTGCCATCAAGGGGCTCACTCCAGAAAACCAGCATTAAATGTAATAAAATACCTCTTTCTGGTAAAGCCCCAGTGGTTCCTCAAAGTCCCTCCTTCCCTACCAGGTTCATCAGTTCGTTGCGCAGGAACTCAGGACTGACTTTTGGAGCTGGTTAAGGCTGCAGACTCCAGGCTACATGGTGACACCCATTGGTATTAATGGGTTCATGATAGTTTTGAGTGAACAACTTGTTCTTAATGAACCATTTGTGGAGTCAGTTGGCTGTTTCAATGCTTTGTTTTCTATGAATGTTAGAATTGTTGGTAAAGCTTCGCTGAGTTTCTGGATGCTTTCCCAGCGAGGGTGGTGATAATCGTCTGTGCCTCTGTGAGGAGGAACCAGGTTCTGGCTCTGGTCTCTGGTAGGCTAAACAGGACTCCTGTGACTGATGTGATCTAGTGCTGGAAGCCATCACATTGTAATGGCTTCAGGATGCCACCAAGGGGCTCCTCAAAGAAAATTTTTTTTTTTTTCAACAGTAATGGGTAGATGATTACAAAAGATCAACATTTACACAAATATCATATATACATTAGTGTGTAAAATAAAGTTTAAGATATGCATAGGTATTACATATGCATAACTACTTCATTGTATAAATATTTTTTTTATCTACAGCCAAAGTCATTATGCCATAAACAAAATTTCTGAATGCTATCATCAGAAATTGTTTCAGAGTACTGAGAAAGAACCAGCTGCTTACCAATAAGGCAGGAGAGCAGAGGCAGTTGATCAACAGTGATGTGGAGGATGCGGGCCAGAGCATTGCGGTCGTACATAATAGTGTCCAATGTTTCAAGGTTTAGGTGATTTATAGAAAAATAGTAATGAGCTGTGTGGTAAATTATGTAATCAGAATCCTGACCCAAGATGCCCATAGCACCATACTTCTTAGCATACTCTGCTACTGCTTTGTCACATTCATCAAGGCAAGTGTACACCTTGCATCCTAGCAAGTCCTGGTGAGGAAAGTTAATATAAATAATTAAACTGTCTTTTCCAAAACATATAATGGTAAAACAATTAGAAAAAACACACACCCACATACAAGCTATTGAAAAGGGAAAAGAAAAAGCACCATCCATTTTAGGTATTGAAGTAAAAAACATTTAGAATCGACAGAAAAGAAAAAAGTTTTTAATAAACTTTATTTTATTTTATTTATTTATATATACAATAGTTCTTAAATTCTTGCGACCTGCCAAATTGTTTAACAATCAGGTAACCATTTTACAGTTGGGTTAAACAGAGGCTACAGTTAAGGATTGGCGCCCAGTAAATCTTCCCCGGCCAGGATACGAACCCAGGACAAAGTGCTCGCAAAATGCCAGGCGAGTGTCTTACCACTATACCACGGGGAGATTATAAATGACATGGCAATCCTTATATTAGTTAAACATGTAGCTGACTATAGTATAAGCAAATAGGGAAACATGAAAAAGAAAAAAAATTGGTTATATTTACAAATGTAAAACTAGTGGAAGAACTGTTAAGGAAGACCCTGAATCGAAGAAAACATTTACACTATAACATAACCATTGTGAAATATATTTCATGAGAGAGATCAAGAAGAAATCTGCATAGAATCTATGAAGTAGAAAACTAGCACATCACAGAGAATAGAGTCGAGCCAAGACTTGCAAACACATCCTAATATTTTTAATAACTTATATAAATGTAGATGGATTAGCTGAAAAAGATCAGAAGGAAGGTAATAAATAACATGGAATCAGATATCATAGGACTAGTCTAATGGAAACCAAACAATAAAATATATTAAATGAGAGAGTACATGAAAAAACACTAACAGTATATAAATTATCCAGTAGGCTATGAAAGGGTGACAATTTGAAGACACATTAAAGGATTAGCAATTTTAGTAAAGCATGTGACATAGCAACCAAACATGCCCCAGTATTTTGAATGATGCTCAGCACTAATGCATCAGTCTGGGATTAAGTACCATGAAAGTGTGAAAGTAGTGGACAGAACTAGAGAAGAATCTGTGCTATTGAACCATGAACCAAACCAGTAGAAATGGTAACGGTAACACACAATGACTATGTAACACTGTCACACTTAAACCAAGTACTAATATTATGAACACACTGAACAATAATATGAATGAATGAATGATAGTGGTCTAGGCCTACCCATTTATCAGTAGAAAAAAAAAAAGTCAGGAAAAATATGGAGTGGGAAGCAACCAGTAGAGCTACTCTATTATTATGTACATGCTGACATCTGGAGGAGGTTGGAAGTAGTGCCCAGGTGAGCAAGCTAGCAATTAGTGGAACATTCATTGGTAGTCACTTTGGTGCCAAATAGCACTAAGAGTGCTTTGAGTGTAGGTGAATGAATCTTCTGAAGACTACGCCAGGCTGAATCGAGTCTAATCCAGTGCCTTCCTTATTGCAGCATCACCCAGCAGGAAGTGTGAAAAGATCCACAGTGCAGTGGGGCAAAATGTTGATTATCTTTAGAAGCATACATCATGGTCTGAAAAACCGAGTGGAATAGCTCGGAAAACCTCTCGATCTCAAAAGAGTGGTTAAGATGTCTCCATGCCTGTGTGGAGAACAGGAGAAAAAAAATTTGTATGCAAAAAGTAATGAAAATGCAAACACACATATCCAAGTCTTCTTGTGTTTTGTGCACATTGGGAGATTTCCAGGTGAGGGAGTCATTTGGTCTGTAGACTGAGGCAACATAATTTTGCTGACAAACTTATATTGTATATAAATATATTTGTTCCTGCCACAGTTCAAAAGGAAGTGCCTTACAACCCAGTCCTTTGCTGCTATTCTGCCTTGTAATCACATCTAGAATTAGATTCAAACACCAGCAGGAAACACCAAATTGTAATTTGACGATAAACGTATTGCTTGTAGTACACGATAGCCTCATCAATAGCAACATTAAAATAAAAATATGATAGTAGAATTCTCTTATGGCTTTAAGTTAACTATTATATCCATATAGTAGTAATGGTAGGCATCCATTAGTTTCAGGAGACTATGGAGTTGCGCTCTGGTTATCGGTCTGGAGTGGCCTGTCCAGACTGTTGTCACGTGAATCCCCTGCATAGCAGTGGAACTGCCTTTTCCCCTCACCTTCAATGCCTTTCCACTGGAAGTCTACATCTACACCAGCTCAGATGAGTCATCAGTCCTGCCACCTTTCCCACCTTTCCATCTCTCCATACACCCCAGGGCCTGGTACGGCTCAGAGGCAAGCCGGGTGCCTCTGCTAACCAGTAGTTTCCAAACAAGCAGTTAGCCGCCTTCAACTAGCCGTGGTGCATCTCAACACAAAGGCACCGCTAGTCACAAACGAGCAGTTTGCTAGTTGACCAGAGGTCCACCTTGCGTTGACACTGGATGCGAGTCATCACCACTGGACTATATACAGGGCATCGCCTCACTAGAGAGCCACTCTCTCTCTCAGTGCTCTGGGATCACCTTGGTCTCTCTCACCCATCATCTGCCTTCAGCCAACGCCATGTGTCTGATGCCATGGTGGTATGATAGCTGTCTTCAGTACACCAGTATATCTTCTTGCATTATATTAGAGTTAAACTTTCATTTACTTATTTGATTTGTTATAACCTGTATAATAATAGCCAAGTATTCACCCGTGTCATTTTTGTTCATTAATATTTCAGTAAATTGTTTTAATTATTTATTTGATGATTATCATTTGTTTCCACCTGTGACTTACACACTGCAAGGCCAATAGCAGTTTTTTTTTTTAGTATTTGTGTGAGGGAGAGCCATACCATCTTGGTCTAGTATAGCTGCAATACCACAACCTGTCACACCTTATATATATATACATATACCCATATGTATATATACCCATATACAGTCAATATATTATAGCCATATTTACATTTGAATAAAACCAACTGATAACTAAAATCATATGACAATAACTGTATTTTAAGGGTTAATATACACAAGAAAATAATAAAATAATCTCATTTATTATGAACTAGGAAAAGTGCACTCATTGGAAGGAGAAAACCTTCATGCAAACAGCACATATCATAAAGATGAAGAACAACAAAGACCCCTGGACAGGCACAGACCCAAAAGAATGACCAGGACTGGTGGAAGCAGAAGCAGCAAGGGAAATATTAAATTTGTTTAACAAAATTGTACAACAGTAAAAAATAAAAAGTACATAATCAACGCATTAGCATATTACAAGAGATATTCATCAGAAGTATGAAAATAATGAATGGAATGGGCCATGACTTGCCTTAAATATCAGAGGTGTAAAAGCTGCCAGTCCTGTAGGTATGAAGAAATGCTTGCCATGTTCCAACTCCTTGTTCGATTTAACGATGCTAAAATATGTTATCACATCCTTCAAATTTTCCAGTCGGCGATGAGTCCACGTCTCTCGTTTGCGCTCCTACAAGACAGCAAAAAGACTCGTTACTTAAATGCCATGCAAGGTGGTGATCTATGCAATAATTTGGTAATTAAATTTAAAATGCAGCAAGAAGTTTTTTGGTTTCCTCATGAGAAGCCTTACCATAAGAAAGAGGGCTAGCAAGATGCATCTGGAAAAAACAATTTAAAGATGGAGACAAAACATGAAAGAATTTAGCATTGAACATTATGAAGTAATGCTTTCTGGAGGATTACCCTCTATATACAGATCTGCCCGAAACGCTTTGCGTAATAGTGGCTTTAGGCATTGTATGTACTAGCTCTATCTATAAAGCCAACAAACTTTGTAAATCTCTTTATGTATGTACCTTACCTAAATAAAGATTATTATTTATTATTATTATTATTATTATTATATCTTCTAAAGCTATGCACCTGGAGTCCTCCAAATAAGGGTACTGTACCACACCAGGCCCTATGTATTCACAAGCCCCTTCCAGAGATCAGTATCAGCAGTATCTGGCCCCCCCTCAAAAGAGGCAATAGTGATCTGTGGGTACTAGACCACCATTGTAACCCATGGAAAAATGATCAGAAAGGTAAAGTGCAACAAAACAAGCAACCTCTTAGACAACATTTACAACCCTGATTCAAACTAGATACACACTCATTATCCAGGTGCCACAACTTTAGTCAGCTTAACACCCTCACCAACAGATGGCAACCCAAGAGTCCAAAGCAGCAAGCCTCCCAGGGAAGGAATGGGATGATACAGATTGAACCCACTTTGAAGACATTTCATTACATTCAACTCTGGATTGCTGGGAGGGTCCCTCCCTTCTAAATCCCAGAGCTATTTCACATCAAAAAGGAAAACAACAGGGCAGACTATGGTTGGAGAGGAGCAGAACCAGAAATCACAAACTCAAATATGCTGCCTAGAACTAGAAAAAACCACAAGCAACAGATGTAACAGGAAATGTGTACAAAACCATCCAGCAAGCCAGTAAGAAAGCTGGGCACTAAGACAAGGAACCATGGACACAGGCCCAAGAAACACAGCATACACACGAGCATCCCAAGCAGAACACGGGTAATAGTAATAACCCGAGTGTAATTACCCAAGTGTAGTTACAGAATGAGAGCTACGCTCATGGTGTCCCCTCCCAACAAGCAAAGTGCTGGAGAAACATCTGGCCAGCACGACAAAGTCCTACCAAGGGTCACCCCCCACACACTGCCAAACCGGAAAACCAGAAGTAACAGAAAAAAAAATGCAGGCTGAAGTAACAAAAGACCCCTGGACAGGGACATACCCAAAAGGATGACTAGGACTGGTGGAAGAAGAGATGAAGATGGAACCCTAACTATCCTCCAAAGAGTCAGAAATGAAACCACTACGATAAAAAAAAAAAAAGGCAACACTCAATGAGCGAACAAGAATGGACAAGCAGCAGCATTCAAAACAAGGGATGGTCGATGGCCAAAGGGACCACCAGGAAGAGGTAGTCATAGGATCCACAGCAACAACAGACTGCAAAACACCTGACCATGAGGTTATACAGGAAGAATGGTAAAGCCCAAATCACCAGGAAACAGGACCTGATTAAACCCTATAAAGGAAATAATGCTATGGAAATGAACACCGAGCCATAAGTCCAGTAAAGCAAGGTTGAATTGGCCACCAAGGAGCAGGCCCAGGTGGCCAATTACCCTGCAGGCCAAGAAACGTCAACATAGGTATGGAAAACAGGGAAAACACTAACCTGGTTGGAAGTATCAGAAACCTAACCAACTCCAGAGAAGATAGAAGTACAGTAGCTACTGCACACACTCAGCTGGAGATGGTGCAACAAAGAAAGCCCCTGCATTAACAGCAAAGTTCCCCCTGATATTTTTTTTTATAAGAGAGATCTGGATTTTGGAGGAAAATCTGGTAGGCAAACATGGTCAGTTGCTTAAAGAGATGTTACTGTAGATGATTTGCTTGTGTGTGCAAGACAAGATGAATGGATGAGTAATTTTGAATTAGCCTTAATTTCCTATTTTATACTGCTCTTTAACTTAACACACTCTTTGCCTCCCCTTCCTAACAGTAATAATGATAAAATTATTACATACAGTTTTAAGTAATACTTACTGGTGTGTTGCCATCAAAAAAGACGACCAGTGTAATGTTGTGGGCTGTCAGACTCTTATAAAAATCCTTAATGTGGTCAATATAACCTTTCCATTGACCTCCACAAACCCAATTTAGTTTGCCATACAACTTCCTCATGCACGACATGCCATCCACCACAATTAGTGGAGTTTTCCCCGTCCGCCTAAGGTATTCATCTGCAACCTGAAAATACATTAAAAAATTCATTTACAATTATACTCACTAAGACATATATATATATACCTGTACTACAACTGGCAGTTCAAAATTACAACAAAACTTAAATCAAAACAAGAAGTCTGTAGCTAACTTCTAATATTTTAACATCATGACTAACAAATAAGTACTGTACTAGAGGTTTTTCTTATTCCAGTACAGTACTGTAATGAAATACATAAAATAATATTTAGCCCCCTTGCAGACAGTAATTTTAAACCTGGTTATCCAACCAGGAATTAATTTTCTAAAAGTTTTTGTACAAAAATTTATAAATTAAAAAGTAACTGGAATACAGTATTTACATAATTACTGTACTAAAACTTGAGTATCGAGTACAGTGCATCCTCACTCTACCGAATTCCTAGATGGTCTGAACAAATTGCATTCGGTACCAAATGTTCAGTGAAACATACAAATGTTCAATTAAGCGAGGATTGTTCATTCAAGTGGTCACCGAGATCGAGCGTCGGAGGTGGCTGTCGTCAACTGTGATTCACCAGTGTAAACAGTTGTACAGTGTTTTATTTTACTTACCCATTATTTACAGGGAGAAGTGGTTGTAGGATGATAAAATGGTGTCGGGAGGGAAGTGGTGTCAATGGTGGGGGTTGGAGTCAGGGGGGGTAAGTGGTGTCAGTAGTTGAAGTTGGGTGTCAGGGGGCAGGTGGTGGAATTTATTCTCCTGGAAGGCAGGTGGAGTTAGTGTTGGAAGTTATTGTCAGAAAAACTGGTGGGGTCTGTGGTGGAAGTTGTCATGGCAGGTAGATGGTGTCAGTGGTGGAAGTTGTCATGGCAGGTAGATGGTGTCAGTGGTGGAAGTTGTCAGGAGAGGCAGGTACAGTAGTATTAATGGTGTCAGGGGAGGCAGGTGGAGTCAGTAGTGGAAGTTGTCATGAGGCATGTGGTGTCAGTTGTGATACTGGTGCCAGGGAAGGCAGGTAGTGCGAGTAGTAAAATTGTCAGCAGAGGCAGGTAGCGTCAGGGAAGGCAGGTGGTGTCAGTGGAGAGTAGAAAGACATGTCCAGCACAACGTTGGTCTGGCCTGAGTGATCAGTTGACTGGCAACACGTGGCTGATGCCACTGCTACCTCACTGCTTCACTCACTCACTCCTCTTCACTAAATTAGTCGAGAAAATTTTACCACTTCAATCGTTTGTAACACATCGATTATCACATTCTATAGTCAAAATGAAGAATTCATAATATATGGTGGCAGTGGTGAGGGGGATTGTATTAAGGGGTGGGGAGCCAGCTAGCACCTACCCGTCAACATTGGTACTCATTAATACTGTATTTATATGTACATTACTTTGTGTATTCCTGGCCGCCTAATATTCCTTGTGTATTTCCTATTCCTTCCCCCTCCCGGGGAGGGAAGGGCGAGGGTTGTGCAGACATCCTCCCCCCCCCCCAGACAGCGGTGCGGCGACGTGACAACATCATGCTCGTTTGCTAATTTTCATTTGGGAAGTTCTGTCCACTTGTTCGGTCTTCGGTCCCAATAGTTTTACCAGAATAGGGGTTTGTTTTGGGGAGCCTACCTTTCTGGGTGCCTATCCCGGTCGATGGCAGACATAGAATGCTCCCAATAATAAGGGGGGTCTTTATAGGCCATTGCTCATCATGCCTCACTAGAGGGGGCCAGGTTCTGGCTCGTGGTCCCCGGTAGGCAAAAACTCCATGCATTGACTGATCTTTTGAGGTTATCACGAGATGATTTCGGGGCTTAGTGCCTCGTGGCCTGGTCCTCAACCAGGCCTCCACCCCCAGGAAGCAGCCCGTAGAAGCTGTCTAACTGCCAGGTACCTATTTACTGCTAGATAACAGGGGCATCAGGGTGAAAAAAATATTTCGCCCATTTGTCTCTGCCTCCACCAGGGATCGAACCCGGAACCTCAGGACTACGAATCCGAAGCGCTGTCCACCCAGCTGTCAGGCGCCTTCTGGCTTTGATGCCAGAAAGTTATAAATATCCATTGAGCCTGGATAGCTCCGGGGAGTCGATGGGGCTCCCCCCCAGAAAGTAGTATCTAAACAGGAGGATGGGTTGAATGGAAATACATAAATGGCACTGAACATTAGTTGCATATTTTTTTGCTAATAATGCACCTTTCCATTACTCTTATGTCATTCTAGCACCAGCTTATAAGTTCTAGGGAACCATATAGATGGCCACCATAGAAAAAAACTTCATTACCAACAACAAAGCACAAAAAAAGAAAAAAAGCATCATATTATTACCAACAAAATATATCAATTTAAACCCAATGAAGAATTAGACGAAATAAAATCTCTACAAGTAGAATTAGGAGTCTGATGTGCCTGGTGTGACTAACCTTGCCTATGTTAACAGAGTAGCATGCCTGTCCACAATGGGACTCCAGGAATGACTGTAATCCACGTACTCCCATGACTGAGGTGCTGTTACAATGGCTTCTCTACCTGTAAAGCGAAGAAAATATTAAGACAATACAGTACAAGAAACATTATTAATTAAAAGCTGTATGGGATAATATACAGTATAACAGTTCAAGAGCTTACTTATCAGTGCTGACCTACGTGAGTACAGAGAAGTGAGGTTTAGTTCTTAGTGCCCTGCCTACTAGCTTTGTTGTTCATGTTGCATTACAGTTTAATTAGTCTGGTGTTCAATTTATTTGTGGCTTCCACAAATACTTCTTTCATTGCATTCCACTTGTTGACCACCTGTACAGGGTATGAGTATCTTTTATTTTGGTTAACTAATTTATGTCTCCAACTTCCATTTATGTTCTCTTGTCTTACTTACAATTTAAAAAGGTTGATCTTGTCCACCTAGTCTATTTCTCTCAGTATCTTGTAAGTTTTGATCATATACCCTATTTTTCTGTCCTCCAGGGCTGTGAGGTCCAATTCCCTCAACCTATCCTCATAGATTGACTCCTCTTAACTCTGGTACTAATCTTGTTGCAAACATCTGTAATTTGCAGATGATGAGTCACATTAACGTGACTGAAGAATGTTGACCAAACTACACACTAGAAGATGAAAAGACGACATTTCATTTTTTTTTATTAACCCTATTTTTCGCCTTTCGTTTTTTTACCTTCCTCCAAGATTTCGTCCTCCTCACCTTTTTCTTGCCTTACTTATGCCCGTGCCTTTCTCGTCTCTTCTCAATCATCTTGATAATGGTCCAGGACGGACCAAAACGTCGTCGTCTTTTCATCTTTTAGTGTGTGGTTTGGTCAACATCTGTAACTTTTCAATTTTAGTTTTAAAACTTCACGCGATACAGTTAAACGTTGGTGATGCATATTCCAGTACGGTTCTGACAAAAGCTGAATAGATTGCCTTGAAAGAGTTGATTTAGGTTTCTAAACGATTCAATATTTTTTGCCAGTGTCCCATATGCTGCTGATGTTACTGCCTTTATGTGCCTCTGTTACTAATGTTAGAATTTTAACCACTCCCAAATCTATTTCTCTCTTGCTGTATTATAATTCCCTTCCCCTTATGTGTATATATCTTCTGGTCTCTATTCTCCATTCCCCACCTTCATTACCTTACACTTGCTGGAATTGAACTCCAGCAACTATTTGTTTGCCCACTCCTGGGGTTTGTCAAGCTTTTCCTATAACTTTGTCCTATTTTTACATTTCTCGTTATCTTTGCATCATCTGCAGACATTAACATGTATGAACTCACTCAATAGGGCAGACAGTTCACATAAATTAGAAACAACAGTGGTTCCAGGACAATGCCTTGAACAATTTTCTCATTAGGATTCCTCCAGCTCAAAACCTCAACTCTGACTATGTGTCTCTGCTTTCTGTCCTTCAGGTACTCCCTTGGCCAGTTCAGTCTCTTTCCAATTATAGCCACTTGCTTCTCCATCTTTTACACCAGCCTTTCAAGGGGAACAATATCAAATGCTTTTAGACAGTCTAGAAAAATATAATCTACCCAGCCTCCTCCCCCCCCCCCCCCCATCATATTTTAGTAGCCGTGTAATAGTTTGTCAATAGTTTGGACATTGAGTTTGTCCAGCAGGAGTTTCTCCTAAATCCAAACTGACCACTTGCTGTGAAAATTATACTCTCCAAGTGCTCCACTATCCTCAACCCAATTACTCTCTCTAGTACTTTTGCATTTAATACTTGCCAGTAACACTGTTTTGTAATTTAGTGCAAACTGTCAAGTCCCCCATTTTTTAATAAATGCACTGTTTGCCTTTGTTCAGAATTCTGAGAGCTTTCTTGTCTTAACTGTTTTACTGAAAACAACAGTTAGTGGGTGACAAAATTACCTCTACACCCTTATTCAGCAGCCCTGGAGATATTAAGTGAGGCCCTATTGATTTTGCTGCACCTAGTTCCTTCCGTTTTGCTTTTTACCTTTTCCACAGTGACACTGTGTCATCCAGCATTTTCTTCGTCCTTTCATCTTGCAACTCTGGTTCCTTTGTAAGGACATCCTGAAATCCTTTATCAAGTGATAGTATATCTATAGTATAGATAGTATAGTACAGAGCAGCTAGAACTGTTAATATAAAACATTACAACTGACAATTTTTTTTTTACGTGAATTTATCTGAGGGACATTGTCTCCCAAGTGGCATGAACAGGGAAAGGAAGATAGTGGCCTCTCAAAAGCTTGTGAAAGAAGTTAAGCTACACTCAAGTCCAACTCGAAGTGTGCACAGGACTAAACCAACCCCGAGTCAGCAAATGAACCCCTGGGAGCAATCTGAATTGAGCCTGCCTGCCATCTGTTGGCGGTTATGGGGTTCGAGCTAGTTTCTAGTGAAACATTTGGGCATGAATAAACCACTGTGGAGTTGTTCGGCTGTATCATGCATCATTTTCTTTGAACCTTGCAGTTGTATGTATTGCTTCACTGACTTTCTAGGAGTTTTCTAGGCGAGGGTGATCGTAACAATCCACTGCTCCCTGTGCCTCTATGAGGGGAAAGATAGCAGGCCAGGTTTTGGCTCTGGTCCTTGTAAGACCATACAAGGCTCCTATGAGTGATGCAACTCAGTAAGTGGGAAGCTATATAAGAAAGTTGGTTTCAAGGAGCCACAGAGCCACCAAGGAACTTTTAGAAAATCTTCACAAAAACATTTGTCAACATCTTTTGTTCAAAGTTAAACATTTTCTCCATGTTTATTAATAAAATATATTATACCACAATAACATTTTTTATCTTTTCACTGAAAAAAAATCTATCAAGCAGAATGAATAACTAGCTAAATCACCTCAAATGAACCAAGTTGGAGGTCTGCTAGCAATCACTTACTAATTAATCTTCTTCAAAATGGTCAGAATGTGTAGTTGGCTTGTTTCTTTAGTCTCGCACAACTATTGCAAACATTATGGGCTCTAGGTTAAACAGTATGACTTCCTGCTTCAGGTTCTCCTCTCGATACCTCCCCCTCCGTACCTGCAACTTTTCCGTACAGTACATTAGAAAAGTTTACTTGAACACTGTGTGTGTATATGTATATATGTATGTATATGTATGTATGTATGTATGTATGTATGTATGTATGTATGTATGTATGTATGTATGTATGTATGTATGTATGTATGTATGTGTGTATGTATGTGTGTGTGTGTGTGTACTCACCTAATTGTGCTTGCAGGGGTTGAGCTCTGGCTCTTTGGTCCCGCCTCTCAACCGTCAATCAACAGGTGTACAGGTTCCTGAGCCTATTGGGCTCTATCATATCTACACTTGAAACTGTGTGGAGTCAGCCTCCACCACATCACTTCCTAATGCATTCCATTTGTCAACAACTCTGACACTAAAAAAGTTCTTTCTAATATCTCTGTGGCTCATTTGGGCACTCAGTTTCCACCTGTGTCCCCTAGTGCATATGCCTCTTGTGTTAAATAGCCTATCTACCCTATCAATTCCCTTGAGAAGCTTGAATGTGGTGATCATGTCCCCCCTAACTCTTCTGTCTTCCAGCGAAGTGAGGTTTAATTCCCGTAGCCTCTCCTCGTAGCTCATACCTCTCAGCTCGGGTACTAGTCTGGTGGCAAACCTTTGAACCTTTTCCAGTTTGGTCTTATCCTTGACTAGATATGGACTCCATGCTGGGGCTGCAAACTCCAGGATTGGTCTGACATACGTGGTATACAAGTTCCGAATGATTCCTTACACAAGTTTCTGAATGCCGTTCTTATGTTGGCCAACCTGGAATATGCCAATGATGTTGTCCTCTTGATATGGGCTGCAGGGGACAGGTCTGGCGTGATGTCAACCCCCAAGTCTTTTTCTCTCTCAGACGCTTGAAGAATTTCATCTCCCAGATGATACCTAGTATCTGGCCTCCTGCTCCCTATGCCTATCTTCATTACATTACATTTGCTTGAGTTAAACTCTGGTAACACCCATTTGTTCGACCATTCCTTCTGTTTGTCTAGGTCTTCTTGAAGCCTCAAGCAGTCCTCTTCTGTCTTAATCCTTCTCATAATTTTGGCATTGTCAGCAAACATTGAGAGAAATGAATCTATACCCTCCGGGAGATCATTTACATATATCAGAAACAAAATGGGACCGAGTACAGAACCCTGTGGGACTCCACAGGCGACTTCACGCCAATCTGATGTCTCACCCCTCAACGTAACTCTCTGCTTCCTATTGCTTAGGTACTCCCTTATCCACTGGAGCACGTTACCAGCTACACCTGCCTGTCTCTCCAGCTTATGTACCAGCCTCTTATGCGGTACTGTGTTAAAGGCTTTCCGACAGTCCAAGAAAATGCAGTCCGCCCAGCCTTCTCTTTCTTGCTTAATCTTTGTAACCTGGTCATAGAATTCTATTAAGCCAGTCTGGCAAGATTTGCCCTCCCTGAATCCATGTTGGCGATTTGTCACGAAGTCCCTTCTCTCCAGATGTGTTACTAGGTTTTTTCTCACAATCTTCTCCATCACCTTGCACGGTATACAAGTCAAGGACACTGAGCTGTAGTTCAGTGCCTCTTGCCTGTCACCCTTTTTGTATATTGGGACCACATTCGCCATCTTCCATATTTCTGGTAGGTCTCCCATCTCCAGTGACCTACTATACACTATGGAGAGTGGCAAGCAAACTGCCTCTGCATATTCTTTCAGTACCCATGGTGAGATCCCGTCTGGACCAACAGCCTTTCTAACATCCAGATCCAGTAGGTGTCTCTTGACCTCCTCACTCGTAATTTCGAACGCTTCCAAGGCCGCCCGGTTTACTTCCCTTTCTCCTAGCACAGTGACCTCACCTTTTTCTATTGTGAAGACCACCTGGAATCTCTTGTCGAGTTCTTCACACACCTCTTTGTCATTCTCTGTATACCTGTCCTCGCTTGTTCTAAGTTTCATTACCTGTTCTTTCACTGTTGTTTTCCTCCTGGTGTGACTATGGAGTAGCTTTGGTTCGGTCTTGGCTATGTTTGCTATATCATTTTCATAATTTTTCTCTGCTTCTCTTCTCACTCTAACATACTTATTCCTGGTTCTCTGGTATCTCTCTGCTTTCTGGTGTTCTGTTATTCTGGAAGTTCCTCCAAGCCCTTTTGTTCAGTCCCTTTGCTTCCATACATACCCTATTATACCATGGATTCTTCTGTTGCTTCTCGGATTTTTCCCTTTGGGATGGGATGAACCTGTTTACTGCCTCCTGACACTTTTGGGTGACATAGTCCATCATATCTTTTACAGACTTAGCTCTGAGGTCTGTGTCCCAAGGTATTTCCCTTAGGAAACGTCTCATTTCATAGTTCCCCTTTCGGTAAGGGGAATAAATTATTAAATTAAATAAAATTATACACACACACACACATACTGTATATATGTCAACCCCACTGTAGGCTGTCATTGGCACAATAAATTTCATGCATTTGACACTGCCCCTGAATAAATAAAAAACAAAATGCAAATAAAAAGTATAAAAAATAAAATTAAGGAATAAAAATATATACAGTACTGTATACAGTGGTACCTCGTATTACGAGCGTTCCTGGTTACGAGTTTTTTGGGTTACGAGCAGGATTTGCTCGGAAAATTTACATCGGGATACGAGCGTTGCCTTGGAATACGAGGGTGTTGATATGCGTACAGGCCGACCTAGCGTGTGGCGGCACAGCGATCGCCCCTAAGTTTACCAGTGTCTCTCGCCCAGTGACTATCCCGCCTGAATTCTTCACCAGGATTTTCAGTGTTTTGTTGGATTTTTGGCCATTTGACCATAAAAGTTGTTATTATATATCTCACCATGGATCCCAAGAAAGCCAATGGTAAGGTTCAAGGCAAGAAATCGCATGTGAGGATGACAATAGAGGTAAAACAAGAGATCCTTCGAAAGCATGAAAATGGTGCATGTGTTGTTGATATTTGTAGGCAGTACAACAAAGCCACGTCAATAATATGCACTATACTTGCCAAGAAAAAGGACATTATGAGTGCTTAAGTGGCAAAAGGCGTATCAACAATCACGAAACAAAGACCACAAATACTTGAGGATGTGGAAAAGTCGTTATTAATTTGGATACACGACAAGGAGTTAAAGGGTGATAGTGTTTCAGTGGCCATCATTTGTGAGAAAGCCTGGGTATTAAAGAAAGCCAGACCTTGTAAAGAAAACCCCTGGAATGAGTGCAGATACGATAGATTTTAAGGCAAGCAGGGGATGGTTTGAAAAATTTAGAAAAAGAAGTGGTATTCATAGTGTTGCGAGACATAAGGAGGCTGCCAACTCAGACAAACCAGCAGCTGAAAGAGTTATTAAAGAATTTAAAGAGTTTGCAGAGCCTGAGGGATACCTACCACAACAAGTGTTTAATTGTGATGAAACAGGACTGTTCTGGAAAAGATTATCTACGAGGACATACATTACCAAGGAGGAAAAATCATTGCCCGGACACAAGCCTATGAAAGATAGGTTTATGCTTGTGCTGTGTTCAAATGCGAGTGGCGATTTGAAAATTAAACCCTTGCTTGTGTATCATTCTGAAAATCCAAGGGTTTTCAAACAGTATAAAGTGCAGAAAAACCAAATGTGTGTGATGTGGAGGGCTAATAATAAGGCATGGGTGACTAGGATTTTTTTTCGGAGTGGGTGAATGAAGTGGTGTGCCCTGTCATAGAAAAATATCTGCAGGAGAAACATTTGCCACTCAAGGCCCTGCTTCTCCTCAACAATGCTCCTGCTCATCCTCCAGGCTTGGAAGATGAATTGTTGCAGATACAGTAATTTTCTCAAAGTAAAGTTCCTTCCTCCTAACACTACTCCTCTAATTCAGCCTATGGACCAGAAAATCATAGCAAATTTTAAGAAACTTTATGAAAGGGCACTTTTCTGGAAATGTTTTGAAGTGACTGAAGCCACAAACCTCACCCTCAAAAAGAGTTCTGGAAACACTATTTTAACATTTGTAGTGTTTTAAAACTCATTGACAAAGCCTGGCAAGAAGTGACTCAAGAACCCTGATCTCTGGCTGGAGAAAATTGTGGCCTGAATGTGTGCCAGAACTAGACTTTGAGGGGTTTGAACCTGTAAATGATGTGCCTATTGTTGAGGAAATTGTTACTCTGGGCTGGCAAATGGGCTTGGAATTGGATGGTGCCGATGTGGAGGAGTTGGTGGAAGAAAACAACGAAGAACTGACCAACGAAGAACTCCAAGTCTTTCAAAAGGAACAGCAAGAAGACATAGCTGAGGATGTTTCTCCAGTGGAGGAGGCAGCAGCACAGAATGTCCCTTCCACAACCATTAAGAAGTGGTGTCAGATGTGGGAAGAAATGCAAACTTTTATTGAAACGACTCGCCCAGAAAGCTGTAGTAGGCCGTTGCATAAATCTCTTCAATGACAATGAGATGCCTCACTACATAGAAATCTTGCGAAGAAGGGAAAAACAATCTTCAATGGACAGCTTTGTTGTGAGAAAATCGAACAGTGAGCCACAACCAGGACCTAGTGGTATGCAGGCAAAACGTGCCAGAGTGCACCCCAGAAAGGTCCTCATTGCCTGATGTTATAATGGAAGGGGACTCCCCCTTCCAAACAGTAACACCTCTCCTCCTCCCCCCCCCCCCTCCTCACCATCTTCCATACACCAACAGGAGTCATCAGGTAGGGTAAGTAATAACTTGAACATACTTTTGTAGTGTAGATTTTGAATTAGGTATAAAATTTAGTTTGAAGTGAGGTTTTTGGATAGTCAAGAACGAATTAATTCATTTCCCATTATTTCTTATGGGGAAATTAGCTTCGGTTTACGAGTTTCCGGGTTACGGACTGTCTCCAGGAACGGATTAAACCCTTAAACCGAGGTACCCCTGTATATTTATTTTTTACAATTGCCTACAGTCACACCGTCTCTTCACAACAAACATCAGTGCCCCCTGCCATATGACACCGCACCTCCACAGCATCAGGCAAACCTCTGCATCAGTATTGTCCTTGT